GATGAATGAGTCATAGTATAAATTCATGAGAGACGGGTCTTGTCTTACAAATTGCAAAGCAGCATGGGAAAGAGTTGGTCAAGTGAAATAATCTGGTTGTAGTATGGCAGGGAGCAAGAACGCGCAGGTAAAGGGGAGCCACCTGGAGGACGGGACCCTGCCGCCAGTGGGGTCTGTGTCCTACAGAGAACCACTCCATAGCCCTGACCGCGAGGCACTTTCTTAGGCCAAACTGAGCAACCAGAAAGGCGGTGACTTCACCGGCCGGTGGGCTACACGAGGAGGAGACCTTGGAGACAGGTGCGTCTGACTGCAGCCGTTGGAGCCTCACCACTCTCTCAAGAAAACGGGGTGAGGAAAGATAAAAAGCGACCTTGTCCGAGGCCTCAGGGGTAATTCAAACTTAAAAGAGAAACAACCTCCAGCCTTTCTCTCCCGGCAGGACGCCTGCCCCTTGCTCCTTTCCCGGCTGGCGAATCCCAAAATCGGAAAGCAGGGTGAGGTCCAGTAACTTTAACAGGAACGAGGAGAAGGAGCCGCGGGAGGGTGGGGGAGGCAAACCGACAACCCCGGCACTCCCTTTGACTCCCGCACTCTGACCCCAGGATCGCTGCTGCGAGGACCTCTGAGCCCGGAGCTCCCCTGCGGAGACCCCGCATCCGACTCACAGACGGCACCCACCGCCCGGGGTCTTCCTACCCGGCTCCAAGCCGCCAGCTTTGCGTCTGCAACCTGGGGAGTCCGGAGCTGTTGCCGTCCGTTGCTACAGCAACCGCAGAGCACCGCACAGCCTAGTAAAACGAGCAGCGATTGGACAACGTGAGCGTCCTTAGCAACCGCCAGGGATACCCCATCCAGCAAAGGAATTTACTTACCAGGGATTCACGGGACAACCTCTCTCCCCAAAGCCCCCAGCCAAGCCACCAGTCCTAGTTCTTTAAAGGCGCTTTGTGCATTATCTCACTGATCACTTGCCTGGTCGTTTGGTGTGAGGAGCCCCCATTTGCACAGGGGTTTCCAAACAGGTCTTTTAACCTCTTCTGGAGGTTTACAAATCACCCCTCACCAAGTTATATTCGAGGGTCCATTTACCCAGTAAGATTCTCAAAGGAATTGGAAACAAAACTTAACTCTCCAGGTGCCTAAGACAGTCCACGAGAATAATTTTCATATACATTAACCCTGTCTTCCTGCTCAGAAACCCAAAACATGTCTTAAGATACCTTCCAAAGACTTTAAACTCTTAATACATTGTTAAAAAAAAATTGCAAGAGCACAGAGAAAATAAAACTGTACTTTGTTTAAAAAAAAAGACTTTAAACTCTTGACCTGCATTCATTCATTGATTTAATAACTATTGATCACAACTATGAGCCATACATTTGTCATAGAGTCACTTTTCTAGGCACTGAAAGATTGCAACAGTCAAAAGAGTTTTTCACGCCTTAGAGTTTTACCTCTGTGGTAGAGTAGATGTATACACAAGATCATAGATTGTAATAATAAAGTGTAGTCATATGATGGAGTGTTGAGGGTGATGAGCCCTGGAGAGAGGGGTCAGGAATGGCCTTCTTGAGGCGATGTTATAGAAGCTGCGACATAAGAACGTGCCAGCTATAGGGGAGGGAGGGGAGAGGAGGGGAGCAGGGAAGGAGAGAGAGAGAGAACAGTTATAGGTAAAGGAAACAACGGTGAAGACAAAAACGATTTATTTATTTGGTACAGGCCAGCACAGCATGCAGTACCAGGGACTGAACCCGGGTTCTCCTTGTGCTTGCTAGCCAGGCGCTTAGACAGCTGAGCTATCTCCCCTGCCTCTGAAGACAGGAATGAATTTGGTGTGTTTGAGCAAATGAAAGGTTCATGTGGCTGCAACAGAGAGAGAATAGAGGACTGCGGTTAATACACAGTCAGACAGCCCGTCCCCTGGCTCTTTACGGGACCGGCTCCTCCTCCACACTCCCCTATCCCCACCATACCCATCGTGCCCCCTTCTTTATTTCTTCCATAGCCCCCTTTACTTGAAATTATCTGTGATCTCCAAGAGAAGAGGTTATGTTTGTATCCCAGGACGTACAAAAGTAACTGACACTCGATGAACACGAAATATTTCTTGGCTGCTGGAACCTCCACATCACAGTACCAAGAACTGTGCATGATTTTAAGAATATAGTGGTGAGCAACAGAAAGACACCACCTTTTCCAGCGGACTTAAGTGCTTGTGGAGTAAATGAATTGCAAACTATGTGGCCAAACTAAATAGTGTGAAGAATTGAAACACTTGGACTAGAAGTGCTGTGGGAAGCCATTCAATAATTCCCTTGATAATTTATTATTTCATTTCAGCTCAAATTAAACAAATATTTAATACCTGCTATATGCCAACCACTTTTGTATATAGCAGTTAATAAGACGGATGCCAGTTTTGTCGGAAGAACTTACAACCTACGACAGCTGCCATTATATTACCATTTACTGGGGGCCGTTGAGTTCTTGATATGCGGCTGGTCCTAATGAGTGTGAGGTATGCATACACAGCATTTCAAAGATTGAGAGCAAGCAAATAATGAAAAAAATTCTCATTATTAATTGCTAAATATTATATTTCATATAGAAATTATAATGTTTCAGAAACACTAGGTTAAACAGTATCAATTAGTAAAAATGATTTGACCTGTTTTCTTCTTTTTAATCTGTGTGTGTGTGTGTGTGTGTGTGTGTGAGAGAGAGAGAGAGAGAGAGAGAGAGAGTGTGTGTGTGTGTGTGTGTGTGTGTTTTGAGACAGGGTCTCGCTATACAGCTCAGGCTGGCCTTGTGCTCTCTCTGTAACCCAGGCTGATCTCAAACTTGCAATGATCCTCCTGCCTCAGCCTACTGAGTGCTGGGATTACAGGTGTGCACCATCACGCTCAGCTTTTAAACTTGCTTCTTTTGGTGGAACTGGGGATTGTACTCAGGCCCTTGCGCTTGCCAAGGAAGCACTTACTCTAGTGAGCCATCTCCCCAGCCCCATAAACTTGCTTCTAAAAATGTTAAGTTACATATGTGGCATGCCTTATTTTTCTATTGGACAGCGCCAGTCTATTGGAAGCTTAATCCTAGTTGACTAAACAAGTGAAATTTTGCTATAGATATTAAATTAGACATCTTGGCTAAAATAGGAAATTTCAAATAGAGGAAGAATTTCAAAGGAAACAAATTAGTCCATTTAAGCCTGTCCTATACTGAACATATGAAATGCTCCAGAATAAGTGAGGAGGGAGGATTTCATAAAGGAGAGCTGTGAGTCCTTCCTCCAAATCTCTAAGCAAACAAACAAACAACAACAAAAAAAGAGGCTTTATTGGGCCGTGGGTGAGTGTGATATGGGCCGCCTACAGTTCAGGAGGTGCGGTGCTGTCTTGTCTGAATCCCACCCACACCAGAAAGGCTGAATGGCAAGAGAAAGCCCCACAGTCAGCACACAGCAGAGCTGCAGGGTTAGGAACAAGCCTCCCTTTCTCCTCTAAGACATACCAGGGTGAAAAATGCACAAGTGTTGTATGAAGCGCAGATGTGGGCCACTCAAGACAGACCATGCAGGGCTAGTGTCAGGTCATTTTCAAGAAAGAAATCTGGTGGGACACAGAGACCTAGAAAAGGAAAACCAAGTGCTATGGTTTGAGGTATCAGCCCACAATCTGTGTTGAAATCTTAAATCCAACAAGGGGCTTTGAAGAGGTGATTAGGTTAGAAAGCTCTTTCCTCTCAAAGAGATTAGGCACTGTTTTTTTATTTTTTAAAAAATGTTACATTACACATGTGGCTTGGACACATATATAATTATATATTTCTACTGGACAGTGCAAGTCTATTGGAGGCTTAATACCAGTTGATTAAACAAGTGAAATCTTACTATGGACATTATAAATTAGACATTCTGACTGAAATAGCAAATTTCAAATAGAGAAAATATACAAAAAAATAAATAATGCTATAAAATTTCAAATTGCAGGGCCAGCCAGATAGCCCAGTAGACTAAAGTGCCTGCTTAGGCAGGCTGAGGGACTGGGATTTGATCCCTTACATGCTGAGCCAATCCCACCCCCTGGGCACACTGAGATGGCAAAGGAGACTGGGAGCAGTGGCATGTGCCTGTAATCCCAGTGTTTGGGAGGCTGAAAACAGGAGGATCGCTATGAGTCCAATCTGTGTAGTGAGACCCTGTAAACCCTGTATTAAACACATTAAAATAAAATAAAAGTTCAAATTACGGGAGAGGAACAATGGTTAGTATAGTGTATATTGCTATCTTCAGAGTAGTTGTTCATATTATAAGATATAGACATGAAAAACTGAACAAATAATACAAGCATAAACTTTCTTTGCAATAAACTAATCTTAACTATCTTGTATATGTAGATAGATATAGATACATAGATATATAGATATACAGATATTTCCTTCCTTTCCTTTTCTCCTTTCCCCATTTTAGTTTTTCTTTCCATTTCAACAGTTTCCTAGGGGCTGGGAGATGGCTCAGTAGAATAAGCATTTGTCTGGCAAGCGCACAGGCATGAGTTCAATTCCTGGTTCCACCGCAAAAAAAAAAAAAAAGTTTCTTCCCATTTCACAGTATCTATTGTACATTTTTTCTTACTCTTTTAGCTTCTTACACTAGGAAGACAATATAATCATACATGCAAGATTTTTTAATTTTACTTATGAGTATAGTCTCAAGTTATATCCATTTCCCTATAAATATCTCAAGTTTATCCTCCTTTGTAGCTGAGTAGTACTCCATTATGTAAAAATACCACATCTTCTTTACTCATTCCTCAGGTGATGGGCATTTTGGTTGTTTCCAAGATTTGCTATGACAAATTCTGCTGCTAAACATGAGGCATATATATTACTGTGGTGTGATGTTTTTAATACTTCTGGGAAAATACCAAGAAGGGGAATAGCTGGGTCAAGTGGGACCCTTAATTCTAGTTCTTTAAGGATTTCCCATACTGATTCCATAGTGATTGCACCAATCCACACTCCCACCAACAGCAGAGAAGGGTTCTGTCCCCCGACAGCCCCTCCAGCATTTGCTATTGGCTGATTTCTTGATGACAGCCATTCTTTTCAGGTTAAGATGGAATATGTGTTGTTTTAGTTTGGATCTCTTGAATGATCAGTGATGTTGAACATTTTTCATATGGTTGCTATTTATATTTTTTCATCTGAGAAGTATGTGCTCATCTCAGATGCCCATTTTTGGATTGGGTCTTTGAATTTGGGGGTCTGATTTTTTTCAATTGTTTATATGTTCTAGACATAAATGCTTTGTCTGAGGGATGGTTAGCTAATTTTTTTTCCCACTCTGTGGTTTTCCTTTTCACCCTGTTAGTGATTTATTTTGAAGTACAAAAGCTTTTTAATGAGATCCAAGTTGTTGATTCTTTGAAGTGTTTCCCATGAAGTTTGGGTTGTGTTTATGAAGTCTCTGCCTACCCCTGTGTCTTCAACATTTCTACCTACTTTCTCTTCCAGTAGATTTAGTGTTTCTGTTTTAATACTTATATCTTTGATCCATTTTGACTTTAGTGCATGGTGATAGACATGGATCTAGTTTAGTTTTCAGCATGTGAATAACCAGTTTTTCCATCACCATCTATTGAAGAGGCTATCTTTCTTCCAGGGAAGATGTTTGAGACTCCTTTTTCAAAGATAAGGCAGCTTGGTGAGTTTGTAGCTATGTCTGCATCTTTAATCTGTTGTACTGGTACTCAGG